TGACAGGGGGAAGCGGGGGAGGGAGGGAGGGAGCGGGGGAGGGAGGGAAGGAGGGAGGGAGGGAGGGAGGGAAGGAGGGAGGGAGGGAGGGAGGGAGGGAGGGAAGGGGGTTAAGGGGGGGAAAGACGAACCACGAACAACGAGTGAAGCTGCTGCCAAGGAAAGGGTGGAGGACAAGAAGCAGAACTGACCAGTAGTTGAAGGGGGGGGGAGGGAGCGAAGGAGGGGTTGGGGGTACCATGCGCCTTAGGGGGAGGGGCCCGGGGAATGAGGGTAAAGCGACGGAAGGCTGGAAGCTGGGTCGGAGGAGCCAAGCTGACGTGGCACGCGTTCACTCCTTCACTCTGGCAGCTTCGGAAGCTTCGAAAGGGAAGCAGGAGCTTAGGGTTCCCTTGGGATCGGAATTTGCTGGCAAGTTGTACGAGGTACAGGTACGGCACTGGGGAGGTTGAACCGTTGGAACAAACTGAGAAGTGGACATGAAGGGCAGCTCGAGCAATACAGCAGGGGCCCCTCCCCCTCCCCTTACCCGCCCCCCGTAAAACCCCCCTCCTTTTCCCCCTCCCAAACCCCGGGGCACACCCCACCCCACCCCACACCCGCTCACCCACCCCACCCGCTCACCCCACCGCACCCACCCCACCACCCACTCACCGTCAAAGGGCACAAGGGACTGAACAGCCAGGCGCAGCTAGCCGCGAAAACGGCAGCAGAGGCCGCCACCACGCTCCAGGGAAGTCGCATGTGGCGGAAGATAAGGCCCACGATGATCACGTCCTGGATCCAGCACGCAAACACCTCCCCGTACGTGTTGAATGCGTAGCCCTACATTCGTATACGACAGCCACGTTTCAGCAAAACACAGGTTCATGAACCACCGCACGTTTCCTTCGCAGAGCTGTTCTTTTAAAAGTAAGAAGCTGATGCCTGCACCCTAAATGGCCATACATGCACATGCCTTCGTACGCCATCCACAGTACGTCGTACACCGTCCACAGTACGAATGTACCACCCGGCCGGCGTACATTTGGCACGCTCGAGACGAAAAAGGGTGGGCGTACGGCGGCGGTGGAACGTCTCCAAGGGGCATCATAACGACTTCCCCCCCTCACACACATACATATATACATACATAGACACATACACATACACATACACACATTAGAACAACACCTCCATGTACATGCCTTCTTCACGGTGCACATTACAAGTACGACTAAGCAGCATTTGTATCACCTCTTGCGATTATTTTCTTATCGCGTATTGTGGAATCTCAGGCATTTCGCTATTATTACATATTTCATAACTACCACCTGCTGAATGTTGTACGCGACCGTCACTGTGAAGCACAGCAGCTCCACCAAATTGGACGTGAGAGACAGCCCCTCCGCACTGTCGGTGCGCAGGATGATCGCGATCTGGGGCACGCTGCGGAAGAAGGATCCCGCCAGACAGGCGTATCCCAGCACCACCGCGGACAAATCCACCAGGGGAGAGGAGCCGCTGCCGGCGGCGGCGGCGGCGGCGGCAATGCTGCTGCGGCCGCCGTGCAGCTTCCGCCGCTGCCGCCGCCGCACCTGGCGGCATCCTGTGCCACTCAGCGGTAACGTCGCGCAGCCGCTGCCGCCAGCATGATGCTGGTTGTGGTTGCGGTTGTGGTTGTGGTGGTTATGGTGGTTGTGGGCAGGAGGGAATGAGGCGCAAGAAGGCCCGCAGAGGGCAGCTGAGGACGCAGAGGCGGAGGCGGAGGCGGAGCGCAGCGGCAGCAATGGCCGGGCGAGCCAAGTTCCGCAGGAAGGGGGAATGCCAGGGCTGGTGCCGCGGCCGAAATGACGACATGCCCTTTGAGGTTGAAGGAGAGCATACAGCTGCCTGGGGGCTGCTGCTGCTGCTGCTGCTGCTGCTCCTGCTGTTACCTTAGAAGTTTGTAGTGTTGGGTTGTTGGCGCTGGTGCAGGTGCTGGCGCCTGTTGAGCGGCCGGCGGTGTGACTGGATACCGCAGTGAGAGAGCTGGCAACAGACATGATGCCGTAAGGAGGCCCTGATGGGCACTAAGCCTTTGACCCAAAAGTTCACAACGGGAAAAACAGATGTCGGTAGTTGATGGCGCCCTGATGGCGCCGCGAAGGCACAGAGGCGGTTTTATTCGCCGCGTGGTGCTAAAGGACTTGTACAAATCCCAGGGGTATAGCAGGGATAGGGGGACGGTGAGGCGTTGGGCTGAAGTGCGCGCGGCCGGACGCGTTTGTTAATGGCAAATTGGACGGTCGACTGGCACAGGCGGAAGAGCAAGGGCCACAAGCGTGCGTGCCGCTTGCCGCGCGAGTTCCAGCTGTAAATTATCCGCAGCTATTGACTATGGTGCGGCGCCCAAAGGCGGGATGTCGCAAGCGTTAACACTGCGCTGACAAAACCGAGCGCCTTAAACAAATATATTCAATAACCGTCGATAGAAAGCATAGCATCTAACACGGCGACGCATTCCTTTTCAGTTCAGGCAAGGTTCCATCCTGCAGTCGACCAGGCTCGCTCTCAAACAATGGCATACCGTTGCGCTAGACTGTTATTTATCTTCTCTCTCCCTGTTGTAAGACTTTGTGAGAAAACGCACTTATCCCTGCAGCGAGCGTTGGGTCGTCTGACTAACGGAATTTCTTGCCGTGCATCGCCGATCGCACCGCATATTGCAAGAATCTCCCGATGTGAAACCGCATAAGCTTGGACGCAATATTTTCTTTGTAAAGGATTCACCACCTTAAATAGGGCGTTTGGTCATGGCAGCAGAACCAAAGTCCGCCGCTCTCCTGTACCATATGGTCCAAAAGGAGCTTTGGATCGGTGCTAAACAGTCCGACCAGGCGTACTTTCCGCCGACGTATCAGCAGGTATCACAGCGATTTCTGCGCTGACCATCTCGGCTACTTGAACTTGCCAGTTGCCGCTAGAGGACACGGCCATGAACATCTACCACCATCCCAGGTTTCAACGACCTGCTACTGCCATCTGCCATAGCCACCAAACCATAATGGGTCCCAGTCCCACTCACTCTCTCTCCCATTCTCTCTTTTTATGCGACATGCTCCAGAACCATTTCCCCTGCTGCTAGGTTTAGTTCTCATATCGTCACTTATGATAAATACCCAACTTCAAAAGCGAGCGACCGATGCCCCAATGCCCAGCGGCCACGCTGCCTCACGGACCTTCCGTTCCGGCCCTCCCGCCTGTACGGCATTGCTCGTCCAGGATGGTTTCATCCACCTCACCGCCGATCCGGCCTTCCTGTTGGGCATCGGCAACCACTTTTACCGGGACGTGCCCGGGGACTTCCTGCTGCTCGTCCTGGACCCAGCGAAACTAACCGCCAAGGTACGGCAACGATTGCAGTACAGCAGCTCAAGCCATCGAGCTCATAGCCATGCATCTCTGATGTTGCCGCTCCTACTACTGCTTTCAAATCGTGCCTGGAAATTGGTATGTACAGGTGGTTGCACGTACGGTATTGCGACCCTGCAGAGCGGCCTCAACCGCTGCATCATCCACACGGGGGGCGTGTGGGGAGAAGATGTGAATAACACACACACACACACACACACATGCAAACATGTATGCACCCACTGCATTTGAATTATCTCTATTACTTGCGGGGTAATAAAACCAAAGCACAATCCTGATAATTCTTCTTGAGATAAATCTTTATTTTAGAAAATCCTTGCATGAAGTTCAATGTTCATACACATGTATGTATGCATTATTTTCATCTGTACTGTTCACGCGTTATTAAACTGGGTTACACTGAAACAGCGCCGCAGGCCATAAAGTCCAAGCGTGTCTGTGTTTTTACTACCCCCACGTCCCGGTGAGGGCGCCTCCTCCCCCCCTCCCGCCGGGCAGGTCGTCTTCGAGCCCGCGGCGGCTGTGGGTCATAAGAGCTCGGAGGGACTGCCTGCGCCCCCGCAAACACATCAGGCAGCGGCAACCCCGTACTCATCCTCATCTCCACCCTCGGAAAGAACCACCACCGCTGTGCCGCCGCCGTCATCATCGTCATCACCGCCAGCATCATCAACATCATCATTAGCAGCAGTAGCAGCAGCAGAGGCTGGGCAACGGGAGCCAAGCGCAACGGCAACATCGTCTGCTGGTATTCTGTTCCCTCATCTGGTGCGGAACCAGGTGGTTGGCGTTTTTACATGGGATTAAAAGGGAAACATGGGAGCAGGCGTTTCAGTTTATTCTTCACCTCCACATCGTACCTACCTGCACTGCGCACTTAACCTCCGTCCTCCTCGTATGCTGATTAGGGCGCCGCCGCTAAGGGCACATACACACCCAGCCAGCAGCACCACACGCCTGCGCCTGCGGCTGACACACAATAAACCCTCGGATCTTGCCCCCTGGCCCCCCTGCGGTACCAACCACGCATGCGCAGTACGGCACCATCAACTACGATGCCGTACAATCCGAGCTTGCCATCCAACGCGACACCGAAGGCCGCTTCGTCGACATACCTGCCCTGCTCCCTCTGGGCCACGGAGGCCATCAACCAATCATTAACGAATGAGTAGTCAGAAAATGGGGCTGTAGCCAACGACTAAAAAACCCCCAACCGTCAACGTATCCTGGAGCGCTGCAGGCGGCCTCCGCTCAGGACTTTCCCCCTATCAGGACTCTTATCAGGCTAGCTTTATTGATGTGAGGGTGTTGTTGTTACCCTTTGGTGCCCTTCGCGAGCCGCTTGTTTGGCGAGTCTGTTTTCAACCGAGTGGGGGCCCCCGGGGGTAACACGTGCGAGAAAGTGGGAAGTGGCCCGTGGGGGGGGGTGGAAGTGGAAGGAGAGAGGGGTAGAGAAGGTCCTCAACGCAACGGTAGAAGAGCCCGGCACGAGGCCGCCACGTGGGATTAGGCACTTAAGAGGCACACCCAGCACAGCACGACGACATGTGTGCTCACATATGTGATTTGTGATTTGTGAGGAGATATGTATGTGTGTAATAACCTCACACACACAAAGGGGCCACACATCGTGAGTGAGCGATTGGGAAAGGAAAGGAATATATAGATAGGTAACAGCTCGTTCAGGGCGGCCAAACCATTTGAATTGCGATACAGTTTACGCGCAGTTTACGCGCACCTTTGTACATCCTTGCCCTGCCCTGCCCAACCCAACCATTCAGCTACTCGTCTGTATTTTTTCGGGCATTGTATAGGCGAGATATTCGGGAAAATAGGTGAAAGGTATATAGGCCAGTTAGGTGTACACGTATTATACGAGAAATAAAGGCCCAGACCTAAAGAGGGACATATGTACATGTTTGCCTAATAGAGGACCCTGTATATATGTAGAATACCTGACCTTCTTTATGCTATGCGGTATACGTCCAAGCTATACAGATATGTGTACACGTAATATTGTAAACAACAGTGCCTATACAGGTGCGTGTGTACATGAGCGCCTATTACAAGACCGCTATAGGCATCACGTAATATGCAATGGCCTTTACATGACAGCCTATACCTGACCTTGTTTAGGCTGTGGTGTATACTTGCCAGGTATATGCATGCGTCTACACGTCATGTTGTAACCAACAGTGCCTATACAGCTGCGTGTGTACACAAGTGCCTATTACAAGACCGCTATAGGCATCACATAATAGGCCTTCAAGTTTACATGACAGCCTATACCTGACCTTGTTTAGGCTATGTGGTAAACATGCCTGGTATACAGATGTGTCTACATGTGATGTTGTAAACAACAGTGCCTATACAGGTGCGTGTGTACACGAGTGCCTATTACAAGACTGCTATAGGCATCACATAATAGGCCTTCATGTTTACATGACAGCCTATACCTGACCTTGTTTAGGCTATGCTCTATACTTGCCAGTATGTTGTTTACATGTGTTATTTGTGTAAAGAAATATATGGGATATTGACGCTTGCATAGAAGCTCAGGGGATTACAATTTTCACATATTCTTCATACGTTACTATCACACATCACACAAGGAATCTCAGCTCTCAACCCACAATCCCTCACTCTGCTTTACTAAATGAATAATCCACATGTTATCTGGCCTATTAATGCTGCAACTCCAAAACACAACCAAAACGCTTAACAGAATAAATTCTCCGACACTATCAGCACAACACAAACAGCCATTTCCTACTCCCATGAGCCCCAATTGATCAATCCTCCTCTACCCGGTCGTTATTATCTAGGACGTCTTTGCTACGCCTCGTCTGATGAAACTTCATCTGTGTCATCATCTTTTGACCACACGCAACCAGACTCCCATTGCTCCCATTCCTCGATGGCCATAAGCTTGTCCAATAGTGCCCGCGCTTCTGATGGGCACAAGCTTCGCTTTTCACTCTCTTGAGACTGCTGCCTGACTTCTTCAGCAATATCCTCCAACACGACTGGCAAAAGGCCATGGGGTGGGCTGCCGATGAGCTCGTTGAGCACAAATTGTGCTGTGGGAACTGCATTGCCCATGGACTCTTCCACATCATCCATGCTTCTGCTGGAGGAACCACGTGTACGTTTGACTTTAACTTGGGAGATCCGAACAATGCACACTCTCTCGATAATGGACTCAAACGGGATACATCCATAAGCTGCTGCTGGTTTTCCAGTCACCCTGGAAGTGGAGGTTGTGTGGACAATCAATGGTTAGTGTTAGTGCAAGAGAGGGAGGTATACAACTGAAATTACGACTGTGTGTAAACTACTTTTATTACCTCTGCCATCGCAGCTGACGGAGATTCAGTTCACGGTTCCATTCATCTTCTGGATCCAGAGCATCAAACCACTTAACATACACCACATCTGCTACCTTGTCTTTGTACAGCACGCTGAGCAGTAGCTGCACCTGCACACAAGGGCCATGCACATATGAGCAAACTCCAGAGAACTGAAGTACATACACACAACAAATGGAAACCAAACCTCCATTTGCCTACCCGTCCGTACCACACACCATAGCCCCCTGGGGTGTCGTTGTTCAGGATTGAAATGTCGCACACTGGGCATGCCTGGGTCTTGAAAAGGGACTTAGCCAGGCCGCCACCACGGATGTAAGTGACGGTGTGAAGTGGGGTGTAGTAAAGACATCCCATACGCCTGATGACAACCTACAAGTGTGAAGTTCACATGCATAGCATAATCAACAACTAGCTAAAGTATCACTGCTAAACCTGCTAGTACTGTATCATTAACCTATGTAACCAGCGAGCCTACCTTGGCATGATCCAGATCCTGTGCAGACACCCCCCAGGCAGCCACCAGCTGCTCTGTAAGGCACTGCTGCAGGTACTTTGCACCCTCCATGCCCCAGGCTGCTTCATCTGTTTGCAAAATAATGCAAGACATGCATATAGTGTGATGCCATTGGGTCAACATTTTGGGAAAATACAAGCTTGCATACACCGACCTTGCAGATTCTTAACCTTTTCCATGGCCTGTATCCAAGGAAGGCTGAGACCTGACCGGCCGATGGCATGTTTCTTGTCCCTGAGTACCTGTGCTCTCTGGTACAAGGTACGTTTATACGTGCAACGTGGGTTAGGAGTGTAGCGGCATATAAAATCTTAGATGGTTACAGCAACATCTGCAGCACATACATAGCTTCAAGCACACATACCAGGTGCTTATCAGTTGCCTCTGCTGCTGCACCCTCGTGTTCAGCAGCCATCCCCCCAGCAGTGATGGCACCCAGCTTATTCACAACCTGCCGGATTTGTATGATGAAGGCAGTGGCACACAGAATGCATGTCACTCACAAGTCATCTTAGGCGTTGCATATGGATGGCAAATACACCCCTGATGTTGATTAGTACACACTTGCCTGCTTATCTACGGTGTCAGGATGCTTGTTTGTAAATTCCCATGCTTTACGCACAGTCTTCACAAAGCTCTCCTTGGGGCCCGTCGTTGTCAAGTCAGTCATGCCCCATTGCCGAATGCACCACGTGTATTTTCGCATGTTAAAGAACTTGGGGATGTTTCCCCAGTTCTTGTATCGGCCAAACAGCCGTACCATATCTGTCTGCAGTCTGCAAGCAAACACAGCAGTATTATGAACACATGTTCATATCTGTAGTAGCCTTCACGAGTGACACATATAACATGTACATTGTTCGAAGCAGTGATCTGACTGTCCATCACTCGTGCCTTCATCCTACCTTGCTATTAGGTCATCCAGAAATGCGAGGCTTCCAATCGTGTGCCTTGGCATGTCACGTACTTGGATGTAGCGCCCATAAGCTGCAATGAAGCATGGTTGGTTGCATGGAGCAAGCGGCACATACACGGCACATATAAACACAGAACCTCATCAGGAGTGTTGGTGTGTACAGCAATGGCTTCACCCAGCTGGGTCTGCAGACAATGAGCACCTACCTGTAAAGAACTCCGGGATGTCACGTGGCAGTCCCAGTTGCTCAAGGTCATGGAGAGCAATGCCCATGAACCGCATGATGCACTCTCTCTCCTGTGGAAGGATGTTCCATTGGTTGGGGAGGTAACAGCAGGCAGCAAACACTACTGGTGTCACACTATACCTTCGTCAAGCAAGGTTTCTGTATTGCTGAGGAGTATTGCATTACATACATGCTTACAGTAACTAAGGAACACAAACATTTAAAGCATACGTACCTCTGCACATGTTCTCTGCCCACAGGCTCTCCTTGGGTATCCGACCCCCACCATGCAAACGCCGATATGAGGCAAGCCATCCCCTGATCTTCAAGTTCACTCTCTCCTTCTGTTGCTTGCACTTATCCTCTATACATGCCTTTAAAGCCTCTATGAGATGCATCGAGATACCGTTGAAGTCCTGGTGAAGTGTGTCCACGGGTACACACTGGTAAATGTCGGTATTTGCAAAGCCCCATAACGCCACCTCCTCGCCCACAAATCCGACCTCGTTCCGTTGCTTCAGGGTGGCATCCCCTGCCAAGAGTGCCTGCACATTATGGGTACATGCAGCATGTTCTGAACAAGAATAATAGGTGCTGAATGCATTGTCTTTGTGTTATGGGAAGTGATTTGGATTCAGGCTGATCCGTACAATAGCAAAACTCGAACCCAAAATGATGGGCAGTTCACAAGTAAAACATTGCCAACGTTTGAATGAGGGCCATGGAATTTGTTAAGACATGCACGTGGTTCAACAAGGTTCAGCACCATATACGAGTGGTCCAAAGAGACAAACTCAGGAAATGGAAAAGCATGCATGAGGCAACCTTTCACAACCATCAAAGCAGTGGATTAGGCCAGGAATGAATCTGGTTAAGGCTGTTGCGAACGGTGGTGCCACCAGTGCGATAGGATGGCCTGCATGAACAAATGATACTGCTGCAGTTGCACCATCTGCATGTGCCTCTGTGTATGGGGGTGTTTAGGGGGGCGTCTGCTGTGGGTGTCTCTTAGGGGAGGCAGGCGGGGGGGGGTGTACACTTTACTAGAAAGAATGAGGCTTTCTATAAGTGCCCACGTGCTCCTGCTTAAGAGACTGTCAGGTGTGATCCGCCCATGAAGCCAATTTGGTGACACCACCGC